TTTACATGCAATTTATCCAAACTTTACGTCTTAAATCCCTGCCATCACATCAAAATTTAGAAGTTGTAGTGATGGTTAAAGAGTTACACCTTTATATTCTGACATACCCTGGCAGGTGAGTGCCCTCTCATGGGCTGAAACCTGGACTTGCTGAGCGGTATATTTTCTTTTCTTTTCTTTTTAATTAAAATTTTGCAAATTCGTGGCCAATAAGATTTGAACATGGTTGCTATGATACCATCTTAATGTTCCATGCCATTTCAAGAAAACAATGTAGCTGTAGTAGGTTGAGGGTTTTAATTTTATATTTTAACATTATTGTACTACTTTGATGACTGTTCTTTCATATAGGAGTTTCTCCAGTGCCAATACCTGCACCCTCTGAAGCGAAGGCGACCTTGGATATTACTGAAGGCCCTCTTGTTTCACCTTCACGTTCTTCAGCATCTTCTTTTAGGATGAGCCCTATACCAAATGCGCATGCTCCTTTAGCTTCACCTCTCCAACCTTCAGCATCATCTCCAGTAAACCCCTCAAATATTACACTTTCTCCTCCTCTGCCATCAAATCTCTATCCTTCAGAATCTCCTCCAGCAATAAGTCCTGCACAAAATGAAGTGAACAATTCCTCAGAGACTACAAATACACCTTCTGCTTCCCATTCAAATATCACAGATGATGCTCCTCATTCGAATCTGCTTCCTTCAGAATCTTCTCCCATTATCAGTCCTAGTGCACCAGAAGTGAAGGAGCCATCAAATAACACTGTTTCTCCTCCTCCGAAATCTTTTCCTGCTATAAGTCCTACACTACCTGAAGTAAAAAAGCCCATAAACACTACTACTTCTCTTCCTACACATCCAATCCCTTCAGAATCTTCTCCTATGATAAGCCCAACACCACCCCAAACAAAGGATCCATTAAACACTACACATTCTCCTCTACCTTCACATCCACTCCCTTCCGTTTCTTCTCCCTTTACAAGCCCTAGTCCACATCAATTGAAGGAGCCCTCAAACATTACACATTCTCCTCTTCCTTCAAATCCTCTCCCGTCAATATCTTCTCCTGATGTAAGTCCTACTCCCCCTGAAGTGAAGGAGCCTTCAAACACTACACTTTCTCCTCTCCCTTCACATCAACCTCCTTCATCATCCTCTCCAACAATAAGCAATCCTCTCCCGTCAATATCTTCTCCTGGTATAAGTCCTACTTCCCCTGAAGTGAAGGAGCCTTCAAACACTACACATTCTCCTCCCCCTTCACATCAACTTCCTTCATCATCCTCTCCAACAATAAGCTCTTCACCCCATGAAGGGATAATTCCCTCGAATACTACACATGCTCCTTCAGCTTCAAATCCAAAGCCTTCAAATGTTACACATTCTCCTTTACCTTCACCGCCCATTCCTTCGGAGCCTTCGCCACTGATAAGCCCTTCACCGCATGAAGTAAAGGATCATTCAAATACAACACATTCTCCTTTAAAGGATCACTCAAATACAACACATTCCGCTTCTCCTTCAGCTTCGGATCCTAATCCTTTGAGAATATCTCCAACAATGAGCCCCACCCAACATGAAGTGAATAATCCATCAAATATCACTAGTTCTCCTTTAGCCTCACATTCGAAACCTTCACTCTCTCCTTTGCCTTCAAAATCTTCTCCAGAGATAAGCCCGACACCTGATGAAGAGGAGCCATCAAATTCTACACGCTCTCCTTTGCCTTCACCTCATCGTCCTTCAGTATCTTCACCATTGTTAAGCCCCATGCCACATGAAGTAAAAAACCCCTCAAATGTTACTCATGCTCCTTCGCCTTCATATCCTCATCCTTCATCAGAAAGAATTCAGACCCCTGCATTGGCACCAACAGTTCCTCAGCACAGTGCTCCACTTGCTCCCTCTCTACCATCATCACATGATGCAGGTTGGATATCGAAACCAAAGATGTCATCACTAGGAATGAATTCAAATAGCTATCAGAGATTAAATGGCTTACTGAACTTATTGTTTTTTATTCAAGGTCCAATAATCTCTCCAGCTACTCCACATATTCCTGCAGCATCTCCAAGCTATAAGGGAAGTGAAGACTCTCCTCCACCCCATTCTCAAGGTACTAACTTAGGCAATAACTAATAGAATAAGCATTGATATCTATATGTGTCGACTCTATACAATTTTGCAGCTTCTTTTGTCTCTCCTACCCAAGCTCCTTCCCAACCTCCAATAGTAGTTCCCAGAAATAGCCAAAAGAATCATGCTTCTCCACCCTCTCTTCAACATATCAACTCATTAAAGAATTCAGAGGTATTGGATTTAC